TTGACTGGAACGTCCAGTGCAATGTTGAATAGAAATGGTGAGAGCAGATATCTCTAACTTGTTCTTGATCTTTTGAGTGATCATTTTAGTTTTTCCCATTGATTGTGATGTTGGATGTAGTTTTTTTTGTAGATGCCTTTTAACAGGTTGAGGAAATTCTTCTTTACTTTGTATTTGCTGAGAATTTTTAACCTGAATAGACGTTGATTTTTGTCAAGGTTCTTCTACATTGATGGAGACAATCATTTGTTTTTTCTGTTTTTAATCTTTTGATACTGTGAATAACATTGATTGATTCTCAAATGTAGCAACGACCCTTGCATTCTGGGATAAAAGACGGGTAAAATGTATCATCTCATTTCTGTATTGATGGATTCCATTTGTTAAAATTTTATTAAGGATTTTTATGTTTATCTTTATGGGAGATATTGGTCTGCAGTTTTGTTTTATTTTGGTTTCCTTAGTAGTAGCATCCTCTGATTTTGCTATCCAGGCAATGCTGGCTTCAAGAATTAGTTCGGAAGTGTGTTCCTCCTTCTTCAGTTTTTGGGAGTAGTTTTTGTAAACTGGTATTATTTCTTCCTTAAATATTTGGTAGAATTTATCATTGAAACTGGGCCTGGAGTTTTCTTTGTAGAAAAAGTTTTAGCTATATCTTCATTTTCTTTTAACATATGTAGGGCTATTTGGGTTACGTATTTCTTCTTAAATGAACTTTATAGTAATTTATGTCTTTCAAAGAACTTAAGCTGTTGAGTTTATTGGCATAAAGTTGTTCCCAAATATTCCCTTATCTTTTTTTAAATTAAAAATTATTGGAATGATACTGATTAATAAAATCAAACAAGTTTCAAGTGTACAATTCAAGAGTATGTCACATATATTGCATTGCATGTTCACCTCCCAAAGTTAGATTTCCTTCCATCACCAAATATTTTACCCCCACCTCCCTCCCCCCTCCCCGCTTTCCCTCTGTTAACCACTAATCCACAGACCGTGTCCATGAGTCTCTGTTTGTCATGTTTTTTGTTGCTTTCAGTTTTACATCCCATATATGAGTGAAATCATATGGTTCTCAACTTTTTCTGTCTGACTTATTTCTATTAGCCTGATTATGTCAAGATCCATCCATATTGCTGCAAATGGCAGTATTTCATCTGTTCCCGTTATTTTTTTTTGAGTCTCGTGCTGGGCTAGCTGGGCAGCTGCCCCTCATTATCTTTTTAATATTTTAAGAATCTGTACTGACATCACCTCTCTCATTCCTGATATTGGTTATTTGTATCTTCTCTTTTTTTCATGATTAGTCTGGCTAGAGGTTTACCAATTTTATTTTATCTTTGCAAAAAAACAGCTTTTGGTTTTATTGATTTTTTTTCCTGTATTGTTTTTCTGTTTTCTGTTTTGTTAATGTTTGCTTTTCTCTTTATTACTTCCTTTTTTTCTGTTTACTTCAGATTTAATTTTCTCTTTCTTTTTTTCAGTTGCTTAAGATGTAAGCTGAAGTTAATTTATTTGAGACCGTACTTCTTTTCTAGTATAGACATTTAGTGCTGGAAATTGGTAAATATTTTCATGAGAAGTTGAGAACTAATGTATATTCTGTTTTTTTTTTTGGGTGGAGTGTTCTAAAAATCAATCAGATTATGTTGTTCAAGTGTTGTTCAAGTCTGTATCTTTTGTGATTGTTTGCTCGGTATTGCATCAGTTATTAGGAGGGAGTATTAAATCTCTGACTTTAATTGTGGATCATCTGTTTCTCTTTGCAGTTCTGTTAGTGTTTACTTCAGGATTAGTTGCCTAAACATTTAGTCTTGCTGTGTCTTCTTGATTAATTGGTTACTTGGCCCCTTTGCAAGCCTTATGAAATGACCTTTGTTGTCATTGATAATAGTCTTTGCTCCGAAATCTACTTAGTCTGATATTGATATAGCCATTCTGACTTTTCATAGATTTATATTAGAATGATATATTTTTTATCCCATTGCTTTTAAACCGTATGTGTTTTTATATTTGAAGTGCGTTACTTATAGGTAGCAGTAGTTGGATTTTGCTTCTTTTATCTACTTTGACAATCTTTACCTTTCAAATGAGGTTATTCACACCATTATGTTTTAGTTTTCACAACCATCCTGTGTGTTCTTATTAGCCCCATTGCACTAAAGAAGTAAGAAAACAAAGAATAAATAACTTCCCTAACATCACTAACGATGAGTGGTGGAGCTACGACTTAAACTTGTAAATATGTAGTGTGTCCCAGGAATCCTTCTCGAAATTATTAAATTTTTATTGTGGGATTCTTTTTTACCCCTCCAGTTTAATTGAGATATAATTGACATATAATGTCGTATTAGTTTTCGGTGTGCGATGTAGTAGAATTCTTAATAGGGGTTTCAGAAGAGCTGAGGTTCATCTTGGAAGCGTCTCTATTTTGTAGAAGATTCACGGTGATGGCAGTAAGAAGAATAGTCTGAATGGGGAAGTATTATGTTAAGAGAATGATGTGTCTACGGCCACGCCACCCTGAACGTGCCCGATCCCGTCTGATCTTGGAAGCTAAGCAGGGCCGGTCCTGGTTAGTACTTGGATGGGAGTCCATCTAGGAAGACCAGGTGCTGTAGGCATAAAAAATAAGGGATTGTAAGCTGACAAGGTCCTTGCAATCTGTGAGGTCAACCAAAGGTTACCTCACCTAAAAAAAAAGAATGATGTTAGGATGGTCGTTTAGTAGTTTAGGGGAAGAGATATTGAGATTCTTCACTAGACATTGGCAAAGAGTATAAAGAGAGGAGGCCAGATCTGAAAAACATTTTCAAAGTCGAATCGATAGTTTGATATTTGGATTCAGGAGACATTGGCAAGAGAAGCAGGGGAGACTAGGAGGGCTGGTCAGAAGGTGTCTGGCCTGTGAGACTTGGCAGATGGTGGCATCTGGAAGATTAGGAGGCAGAGAAGATTAGAGGCAGGAGGTAAATGAAGTATTCTGAATCTGAGTTTATAGGGCCGTGGACTTGGTGGTAACAATAGAAGTTGCAGGGAACAGTTTTGAGATGTTAAATAAGTCTTCGGAAGGTAAGGGTAAACAAAGAAGCTGCTTCGGGTTTGAACCTGAATCGATAGAAGAGTAATGAACAGAACATTCGGGAGTGTGAGCTGATTTGGAGGAAAATTTGTGGCAGGGTTCTTCGTTCAACACTATAATTTGAAAAAAAGAGCTAGTCACCGAAAAGTTGGTTTAAAATTAGGTAAATGTATTAAAGATATGTTTTAGGTATATATTTTAAACAGAATCAGAATAAAAGAAAAATCAGTTTTAACAGATATCTATCTACATATTTTGATTTTCAAGGGATTGTAAATATTTTCCAACTCTGAAGAATTGAAAACCTATAGGAAAAATGGAAAGGGTAGTACAGTGGATACTCACCTTTCGGATTTACTAATCGTTCATTTATTTGCCACGTTTACTTTATTTCTTGCTCCTTCTACATAGACATATACTTTTCCCTTGAACAATTTGAAAATAAATTGCAACTATCATGACATTTCACCCCTAAATTTTTATTCATCTGATAAGACCAATTTTATTTTTCTGAGAAGACATTCTTCTACATAAGCACAATACTATATCATCACTCAAGAAATTTAATCTTGACCGAGTGTATTGTTTAACGGATAGTCCATAGTCAGATTTCCCTAGATCTCTAAATGCCTTTTCTATTTTTTTCGTCCGAGTACAAACCCATTCAAGATCCGTACACTGTACTTTATCATGTGGGTTCATGTCTCTTTAGCACCCTTAAATCTATAACGGCCCCCTGCATTCTTTTGTTTAGTTTTTTCCTTTCGTGACATTGACAGTTTTTGAAGAGTTGTGTCCAGTCATTTTATAGAATGTACCATAATCTAGATCTGTCTGATTGTTTCCCTATGATTAGATTCAGGTTAAACATTTCGGGCCATGAATATTACAACTTCTCACTGGATCACATTAGGTGGTACCTGATGTCGATTTTTGTGGTTATTAATTATGCTAACTTTAATCACTTAGTTATATTTTCTACACAATCTCCTTTCTGCTAAGAAACATTTATTTCTTTATAATTAATAAGTATTTTTGGGTTAATGCTTTATAATCGTAGAAAGTAGTAAGATATACATGGAGTAAAATAGTGGGTTGTGTGTGTAACCTTTGACTTGATTCTAAATTTTCAAGGTGTTGGCCTCATGTGGAAATGTGGGGTGAATGGAAGGTTAGGCTGGGCAGGGGAAAGGTAGAACTGGGCATGCACAGGTGGAACTTTTGTGACATGCTGGAATGGGGCCGTTTGAAGATTTTTAACCTGATGTCGAGGTCATGCAATTAGATTTGGGTTTTAGAAAGATAGTTTTAACAGCAGTCAGTTGGGAAATTATTATGTCTAAGGTAGAGATGATGAAGGACCGACTCCAATGCAGTGTCAATGATTAAGAAAAGAGAGATTTGAGAAATAGTTAAGAGATTTTAATGGACAGACTTTGGGGGCCGGTTAAATGTTGGTAATGGAGGATTGCGAGTGTCTTGGTGACATAATAGTTGATAGGATTTCCTGACTCGATCGTGATAAGTATGGCGTTTAAGGAATTAGATTTTGTAAAGTGTGACAGAGAGAGGGCCTTTTGGATTCTCTTACAGTTTCTCTTACTCTCTGTGTTTATTCTACTTTTTTGGAGACCATTCGAGTGACATTAACGATATGATTCTATTTAGAGAAGCAATTTCCTCTTGATTTATTCTACCCAAAATGGACACGTAGAGCTGCCATTAAGCCTTGGCGTAGAACAGAATCTAGCACCATCTCCTAAAGTTCTTTTACTGGGTAGAGTAAGAGTTTTGTTGAAATGATCAGTAAGGACACCTCAAGCTCTAAAATTTTGATTCTATGGTGTGTCTGTTTTTCTGTTGGACAGCACGTTTTACTTCCTGAAAATTTTTAATGTTCGTCTCTGTTTTTTCCAAGATGTTCTCAGTGCAGCTGAGTCTCGGTGAGCAGACATGGGAGGCCGAAGGGAGCAGTATCAAGAAGGCTCAGCAAGCTGTTGCTAGTAAAGCTTTGACAGAATCTACGCTTCCCAGACCAGTTCAGAAACCACCGAAAAGTAATGTCAATAACAACCCAGGTATGGCACAGGCTGGTTCCCTTCCGTTGTGTCATTGTGTTCTGTGTGCACATGCTGGTCTCCACATTTTTCTCTATAGCAGGCCAGTTGTCTAGTCAACAGGTTTTAATAGCACGGACAGAAAGATAGCTGAATGAAAACTGAAGATGAGAAATGAAGAAGGTAATCGTAATTATTTTAAAAATTTGCTTTAGCGGATGCCATAAAGGTGCATTATTGACTTTAAAGGCGGACGAAAAGAAATTTAGATACAAAGAAAAGAGAACAAGATCGAGTTTTTCTCTAAAGATAGAAATGATCAATTTCTCTTTTTTAAATATGTAATATTTAATAACAAAGTTATTTTTTTTAATTTAATAAAAATTATAAAATTAGCCCTAAGCATTTTCTTATTCTGTTTATTGGTGTAGAAATTGTTGATATTCAGTATGGAACATTTGTATGAAGTTTATTAAGAAACCCACAAATCACAAAAATCCCACCTCATATTCAGTATGGAATATTTGTATGAAGTTTATTAAGAAACCCACAAATTATAAAAATCCCACCTCTTTGTACTATAATGCCAAGAAAATGAATGTTCTAATTTTAAGCGCCTAAGAATAATTTTAAAGAGTTGTTCTGATCACATGCAGTATCAACTCTATGCGTCTCGTGGTCAGGAAGAGGCAGACCTGTATTGGGTATGACATGTGAACGGACAACATCAAATTAACAAAGTTTCATAAGTTTAGCACCAGCCCTACATTCATTTACTCATTTGTTAACTTTTTAATTCAAGTGGTTATCTTCTGACCAATATTGCTTAAGGTATTTTTGTGATGGAGTGAAAAAAGACATTTTGCCTGCTGACAGTGACTCTGTAATCTGTTTAATGTTAGTTCACGTGCTTGTGCTCATAAAGTCAGACGCGTCCTGCTCCTGTGGCAGGTGCTGGGTAGACACGGTCTTGTCTTGCAAGGACTGCTCTTTCTGGACCGTGACTTTCCTGTCACTAGGCCTTGTGCTTCTCTTCAGCTGGTTCCAGAATTTAATTTCTTAAGTAAGCTTAAATAAGCCCAAATATTATTACAATAAAGAAAAAAAACCTATTCATTTTGAAGCTGCTAAGAGGCTACCTATTTAAGTTTTTAAAAATCTCTTTTGATTAGTGGTTGGTCATGAGCACGACACCATTACTTCTGCTTATTAAGGACTTACTTTGACGTATCAAAGAGATATGAAACGTAAGATTTTATGGTTGTGTACATCAAAGCATAACTCAGTGGTGAAGAGTAAGTACAGCCACTGGTGTTGTGAGTACGCTACATGTGGACCGAAGTAGCGGAGGTGAGATGCGGGCCTGGAGTGGGGATGGGCCAGTGGGGGAGAGGAAAGGTGTTGAGAGGTGTCGGAGTTGGGATCTGGCCAGTGGGATTGGTGAAGATACTTCGTAGGTGGTGTTTAATTAGGGCAGGTGAGTGAGTGCTGAGCAGTAAGGCTGGAGGTGGTCAGGCTGGGCTACGATGGGCTTGACCGCCAGCGCCGTCCTGATCAGCGTCGTCCGTTAGGTGTTGTAGGAGCGTAGCTCGTTTATGTCGGTGAGCCTGTGGCAAAACTGGTTTCCTTCGACATTGTGTCCCTTAGTGTCTCAGAGCCTGTGATGACGTTAAGCGGGGACTCACTGTAGTTTGGGGGATTAACATTTACGAGCTGGCGGTGATGTGTTTGAATGCATTTTGGGAAGTTCAGCTTGACGTGGAGGTGGAAGGTGGGAAAGACTAACAACAGGATTGGTTAGGAAGGCACCGTCATAGTTGATGGTGAAGAGAGAAGGAGCTCGAGTGCGTTGAGCGCGCTGTGCCCTGCTCTGCGGGAGTCCTGGAGCGGGACAGGACAGGACGGGTGTTCCTGATCCGGGGGTCGCGGCCTCGCTGGGGAACGGGCTCTCCAGGGGTGGGGCGCAGCGGGAGCAGTGTGTGCTGAGCCCGGGTCAAGTCCATCGGCAGGAGGTCAACCGCAGAGGAGCCAGAGGAGGACGCGGGAGGGAGTCCGAAGGGCCAGTGGAGATAGAGCTCGTACCATCGAAAGCTGCAGTGAGCTGAGAGAATGGGTAGTTTTGGGGGTAAACTTTTAAAGGAGAGTTTAATCCTACGTGCTGGCACGTGAACTAATGACAGTGTAGAGCCCTGTGGGCCTTCGCGCTGTGCACGCTTTACCAGCCCCTCGGGCTTACCAGTGCCCGGCAGCCCCCCACCCCGCGTGTCCGCAGCCCCCCACGTGCCCAGCAGCCCCCGACCCTGCATGCCCCCATGTGCCCC